AAAACCTCCAATCATTTCCATATTGTAAGGATTCTGCAGGTGTTAGATTCAACTTCCGAGGCACTGAAAGACTTTGACACTATATTCATCCTTATTCTGATCACTGTAAATAGAAGTTGAATCTTAGAGGGTAATGTTAGGATGCAGTGCTTCCTTATCACACATAGCCCAACTTGAAATAGAAAATTCTGTATTAGTTCAGTGCTGGAAGGTGACCACTGAGTTTAAATGTAGCACAAAGGCAGTTCTTCCTGGAAGAGTTATATTCTACCATCATTTCATCCTCAGGCAATAGGTTTGTGGATGCATGTTTTGTGGTGCATGTGTTTTCGTACATATACCTGCAAGGGAGAAAAATCAGCCTGTATCCAGTATATGATAAATCTAGTCCTTTGATACAATTGAAGTAGCTTATTTCAAATTTTAAGGACTTATTGCCAACCTTCTCAAACTTTCTCTGCTTTCTTCCAAGAGTTCTGGAAAATTTGCTAGACATACCGACCTATAGAGCTCCTTGTCCCTCATGTACCCGCTGAAAGTAGTCCTTTCCGGAGGCACCTTGTCTGCTTGCAGAAGCTCCTTTTGTTCTGAGGAAGCTCTTATTTACTACAGATTTCTGAAAATCCTCGTGTATAGTAAGGTCTTAAAATAAAACCATGAACACCACAGACATTTAAAAGATGTTTAGAAAATAGATGCAGGATAGATCTAGAGAAAACTTTTGAGAAAGAAGTCTCATAATATATGTGAAGATTAGCAAACAGGTTTCATTATTGTTAGTAGTAGTAGTTAGTAGTAATAGCCGTAGCAGTTGGAAGGACGAAGCATGGAAGCAAGACTTTACTAAATGTCTCTGTAATGGAGAAGCTCTACGTTATCTATTTGGTCTGTATATGTCCTCTGGAGCAGCAGAGGCTGCTGCTTCTGTTTCAGGAGGCAGGTGTGGGTTCATGGAGAGCAGTGATTGCAACAGAGGCCACAACTGTCCACTAACACCATCTGGCACCGTGTGTTTTTTACCCTGCCACCTGATAATCAAGCTGTATCTACTTTGATTGTGTTTTCCAGTGCATAATTAAAAAAAGGTACCATACTCCATAAAATATATTTACAGTCAGCTCACAGATAGCAGAGTATGCCTTATTTTCCTTCAGGGGAAGGGGAGTTAAAGAGAAGATTAATTCAATGAAAGGACGGGGGCTTTTAAATAAATAAATTTATGTGAAGGAATGGATGTTCTCTATTAGTTCAAAAGGACATGGTATCTTTTCCAGCCGTGGTACATTTAATTTTAAAGACCTTATGTTAAAAAGCTTTTATACAAATATTTGCAGAACTGAAGCCAATGTCCTTATAAAAAGGAGTTTTAAGTAAAAAAAAAAAAAAAAAAAAATAGATCCCCATAGCACTTAAGAGTTTTAGCATCTTGATTCTTAATTTTTCCCAAATTCCCAAGCTTCCCAACTGAGTGTGGGAAAAGTTTGGAGCTCTGTTTTTCCGAAGTATCTAGGAACTAGAATAACAACTGGTCAGTACCTGAGACTCCTGTTAGTTAGAATCTTAGATTCCGAGAGTATCCTGAGTTGGAAGAGACCCATGAGGATCACTGACTCCAAATCCTGCCCCCACATGGGGTAACCTGAAAGTTAAACCAAAAAAATTAAAACAAAGATGGGCATTGTTCAAACCCTTATTGAAGTCCAGTTGGATTCCTGGCACCATGATCACTTTCCTCAAGAGTTTATTCCTGTGTTTGACCACCTTCTCAGTGAAGAACTTTTTCATAATATCCAATCTGAATTTCTGCTTATGTAGCTTTAATCCATTCCCTCACTGGACACCATAAGGAAGAGATCAACACCTACCTCTCTGCTCCCTTCATGAAGAGGTTGTAGACAGTGATGAGATCACCCTTCAGCCTCCTCTTCTCTGAGCTGAATAAACAAAATATACTCATCTGCTCCTCATAAGTCATGTCCTCTAATCCTTTTGGCATCTTTGTTCCCCTCCTTTGGAAACGTTATAATCTATTATAGAGCCCAAAACTGCCCAGACTACTTGAGGTGAGGCTGACCCCAGTGGTACAGTCTCTTCTTTCAACCAGTTAGGTATGCTGTGCTTGACGGACCCCAGGGAACCTCACGTCCTTCTCATCTCCAGGGCACTTTGTTGACTCATATTGAGCTTATCATGAACCACACAGTTGCTGAGGGATTTCAGGCACATAAATACTTGTCTGGCCATGAGAACTGAACCAAGGACACAGAGAGAGCACTTGGCCTTGGCCTCAGCCTCTTCCTGTCACTGAGTTCTGGATGAGGGGCAGTATACTTACAAAGGCTTCCCTATCCCACACTCCTTCTGATGCCTGTCACTGCCCAGTGTGAGTCAGGACCAGAGGAAAAAGGGTAGTAGAAATAAGGGACAACTCTGGTAATGAAGATACCATGATAACTGACTTCATACCTTCTGGAAGAGAAGATTCATCAAGGTGCTGTCAACCCACTGTGCTGGGTGAAAAGAAAGCTCCTACTATTTGCATATCATTTTTGGATCAGTTACTTAAAAGGTGTTTTTAGTACTAAAATGTAAAAAGTAAAGGTATTGTAATAGATCATGATATTTAAATACAACTGGTTGAATCTTTCATGGATAGCTCATTGGCTAATAATCACATTTCCCTAAAATAAGAATTTCTTATGTAAGTAAGGGTAGGAGATTTTGACTGTCTTCAACATCTGTGAGTTGCATAAAGCTCTGAATGTCACTCTCCTGTATTTCCATTTGTAAAATGACTTTGCCTGGAGTTTTTACAGAAGGATGTTCATTTACAGATGAGAGTCCAATGATATAATGGTTCTTTGCCTTGCATTCAAAAGGTTCTCTTTGTGGACGATATTCATGGATTAATTTCTGAAATTAGTAGTTTTATGGCAAACATTTTAGAGTGCAATGGAGAATCATATTCAGGATTCTTTTGCAAAAAACTGAAAAGAAACATTTCAGCAACTCTCACCGTCAAGTATACTGTCTTGTAACTATATCAACATTTAGTAAACCTTTATTTTTCTGCTGTGAGTACATATAAAAATGCCCTAGGCAGTCTCATATGCTTTTTCCTACAAGCTATTAACATAAAAATGTATTTTATTCGTGAATCAAATTTGTATAATAGAAGTTTTCACCCTTATCTTAGAGTATTGCGCAATAAGGTAAGGAGAAGTTAAGTGACTTATTTACAGATATGCTATGGGCAAGTGAAACTAAAGATTTTGAATATGCACATCATAGTTACCCTTCTGCTGTTCTAGACAAAAAGAAAAAAAAAAAAGGACTGCAGAAAATTAACACTTAGTACTTTGAAAAAATGATTTTCTTAACACATTCATTTACTGAATACATCTGAGATTGAACATGCCAATATAGTCCTATAACAAAAAAATATATATATTTAAAATGTAGAAAAGAAAACATATTGGAACAGTTTTGTGCAAGGGGAAAAAAAAAAATTTAAACAGTTATTCCATTTTCCAGTTTCCAAAGGTTCTACATTAAATGAAAAACCTCACTCAGTAGCTCCTGCATTTGCCTGTTTCTGGTGTTAATTATCTTTTGTTTGCCCTTGATAATCCTGAGTTGGTATGCAGATAATGAAGGCTGCAGATTCATCTCAAAGTGTAAAAAACAATGGCATTGTCAATTCTGCATCACAACACTTTATAATTTACGAATGTTATCCACATTAAGGAGAATGCTAGACTTTTAAAATTACTTCCATGAATAGATTAAATTACAAGTATTATTACATTTCATTTTATTAAGTGCATCTTAGTAGTTATTAGGGCAAATGAACATGTTCTCTCAATTACATAATAACATTAGAACTAAAAATTATGCATTGACACTCCCAAATGCATAATACGGCATTGTATATTAATCATCCCAAACAATATTTTTGGTTTATATGAAGACAATTATTACCTATTGAAAAATAACAGTCTTACTGATTTATTGCAATTCAGCCCAAAGAATGATTTTTCATATAAAAGCCTTGATTCTTTTCTGTATAGTTAATAATTTCTATCTCTTAGAAAAAAATGTGAGGGTCTTTTAATTACTTTCTTTTATTAATCTAATTACAATAAGACAAAGTTTATCATATATTTCATTTTTAAATATCCTGGACAAGACAATGTAGCACACATTCAGCATATACCAATTAATTTAAGAGAAGATCTTTTAATTTTTGCTTTTAGGTTTTCACAAATTGTACTTATTTACATGATATAGGTTTTCAGTTACATTTTAATTCTGGTGGTCAGATATGTGGATTACCATGCCGCCTTTTATTCTAAGGAAAAGCTTTCATGTAAGTAGATTAGCATTGTTTAGAACATTGCTTAAGAATAGGAAAAGCACCTGACACTAGCATACTGACCTGAGTGGCAACACTGAACTCACTGAAGTCGTAGAAGGACTGGGACCTTGCACAGTACAAACATGTGTGGTAGCAAAGCATTTTAGACACCTGCAGAGCAATTGAAATACTTTCAGATACTTTTGCAGTATCTAATTTTTATTTGTCTGTGATATATGCATTAATTGCATTTCTTGTAATTGCATTTATTTTATTTAAATTACCTAGATAAATGTATCACTTTTTCCAGTATTTCTAAAACTTTGTGTAAATTAGATCTGGTAATGCACATATTAGTATACTGTTATTTACATTGACAGAACTGGCAAATTTTTCAGCATGATTACCTAAAGGGATAATAGTTTAATTGTTTCATTTGTTGCATTTATGCATTTATTGCATTTTGCTATTTTGAGTTGACAAACATGCTGTCAATATCATTGTCGACTTCTGTCTCTTCATAAAACATTATTACTTGCTGAACTGGTGTTTTCAGGGGGGCAGTTATTGACTCATCAGTAAAGTAACGAAAATAAGTAAGAGATTATTCTGATATTATTCATATCAGATACAGATTAACAGTCGATAAATCAGCTTTATAAGTGAATATAAATCACTCTAAATTTGTTGGTCTAAATATTACAATGTTAACATATGAGTCCTTTATCATATGAGTCTTGAACACACTGCATGATCTGTTCAATTCAGCAAGAAAAGCATATAAATGTGCAATATTACATAGTCCTAGGGAATAACAAAAAAAGCATTTTAATTTGATATATTATTGCATGGAAGTTGTGTCTGAGAATTTAAATGTCCTTTGTGTTGCTTAAAACCAACTTTTTCCTCACGTATTCTGCTCTTATGCTTCCTACCAGCTAGGGTAAAACTTATGAATGTGATCCACAGAAAGCATGTGGAAATGTTTCTAACAGTGAACATTTAGAATCAGCAAATGCTCTAATTGGTCATTTCATGGTAGTATGTAGTCACTGTAATTAGACATTGTTTATATTAGCAATGTATTGGGTAACATGAAATGACTAGGTGATCCTTTCTGGCCTAATGTTATTAACTAAACAAAGTAAGTTAGACTCTTTATCATCATTACATCGGATTAAAAATGACTGGAACTAATACATGTGCAGTTCACAAAATAACTAGCCTTCTTAGTTCCAATTAGTCCTCAATTAAATTGTATCAGCAGTGGTGTCAGACTTACAGATACATTAAATTGTCTTTGAATCTCTCTGATTCCTTTAGTTCTCCCTTGTGCCAGTAAGTAAGTTTCAGAAATGAAAGCGTTAACAGCTCCTTTGAAATTACTCCTATTTAAGAAGAAAAATCATATTACTTTCTTAATCTTTCTAATTCTATTCTCATAAGATGATCTTGGATTTGTTCCTTTAACACAGACTCTTTAATGCAGTCCTGATTTCTGTATTAATGAATTGAGAAGATGACATCAGACTCTTAGGTAAGTGCTATAAACTCAGTCATCTGATTCTTATAGTAAGATGTCATGTGTAAAAAAAAACCACAATATTTTGTCCTTTCTTACATCAATGTTTCTTTGAAAAGTAATAGTTGGGTGTTATATAGGTATCACATAAAAGACCGTGCAGTAGTTTGTAATTTACCTTTTGATCATCACAAGAAAAATTTCTACTGGGAAATGAAAGCCAAACATAATTCACTAAAATTACACTGAATGCCCTTTAATCAATACAGTTAAATCTAGAGTTTGTTGTTAAATCGATCCTCTCCTTTATAGAGATATACTGTCTTGATTGTTTTAGGGATAATTATTTCACAGGGAATTTTTACAATGATTAGTAGAAATGAGACAACAGTAAACTTGACTCGGAGCCATTGAATTACTGTGCTGAGCAGTGCATTTGTCTCTTCTAGTTTGAAGCTTACTGATATCAATACTGATTTATATCATTTCATGCAATGATGTTTTCCTGAGAGAAATGAAGTGAAGCTGATTTCATTTCAGAAATGAACAACCTCTGTGCTTGTTTTTCTTTTACAAAAGTGTCAGCTCTTGCCAATATAAATACTCACTGATGCAGACTTTTCTTTCCTACTTTTATCACTTAGGCTGATTCCTTGACATACATCACATTGAAAAAGTCAAGATAAACTTTGGAGAAATAAAAAAAATGTTTAGATTAGAAAGACAAAGGTTGAACCAAAGAATTACTTAAAATAGTGTTACTGAGCTATTTCTATACATATGAAAATGCAATTTAAACATCAGAGATTTAAAAAATCAGAAGTTTTCTGGGTCAGTTTCCATTTGTAAATGAAGCTTCTTTGTAAGTCTGCATGATTTTAACAGCTCACATACCATAAGTCAATACAGTATTTAAAAAGATAAAGAAAGACAGAGGGATGAGTTTCTATGGATGAAATAGCTGTAATTGCTTGCACTACTCTATCGAAGTGAAATTGAATTGTAACGCATTACTCAAAAAAATAGACTTGTGTAGCATTTTGATTAACATAATAAAGTACATATTCTATGTATGAATGAATAAAGGATGGTAGGTATAAAGCTTGAACTTTTGCATTATGTATTCTGTAACCTAAACTTTTCATTAGTAAGAATATGCTGAATTATGTAATTCAGAGAACCTCCCGATTAGAGTGTCTTTTAAAGCAAGCAGCCTAATTGGCAATAGTTACAATCCCGTGCAAAATGAAAAAATTCTCTAATGAACAACATAATAAAAAAGTGTTTGTTTTTCGCCCTTAAATTGTCATTAAAGCTTAATATCTAATGCAAGGAATTCCTTTAATTTAACATCAATTTTGGTACTATGTGTTTCTAAATGAGTGCTTCATATTAATTCTAACACTTTTTCAAGGAAAGAGGAAATAAAGTTTTTAGTATTTATAATAAGAAAGCATATTCTGAAATTGGTTATTACCTAAATGTTATAGAAGTGGAAATCTAGTTCAAATGATCATTTCAGAAATGTATAATTTACTGCACTTACTATTGGCTATAGCTTTAACTAGAAAATTGTACAAATAAAGTACAAAAGCTGTTCTGAGAAACAGGAAAGAATTAT